CGCGCCGTTCCCCTCAGCGGAGGCGGGAGGCGGCGGTGGTTGCAAGGCGTTTATTTGTGCCGGGCCGCTGCGGGCCTGCTGCCGCCCCGAGGGGCAGGAGCAGCGGGCGGGCTAGCTGCAGTACTTCTTGGTGTCCAGCGCCCTGTGCTCGGGGTTGTAGGGCGCCTTGGCGAAGCACATGGCGGCGGTGCGGTCGCAGTTGCAGATGAACATCTCGCACTCGTTGTTCTTGCCTGGGGGAGAGAGCAGGAGCCGTCAGACCCCGCGGCTCCTTCGCTGGCCCACGGCAGTGATTCAGGCCGGCGGTTCTGCTGCCAGGGCACAGCCCTTTGACTTGCTGCCGTTGTTTTGGGGATGCGCCTGCTTCTCCCCGCTCACCCTCTGGCCCCAGAGCTGTGTGCTCCAGCCCAGCAATCCCCTTGCTCCTTCCTTCCTTCCCTGCCGCTCTGTTTGCCAGCCTGTCTGCTGTTTATCTCCGTTCCGGAGCCCTATAAAAGCTCCACCATTACATTAGAGACGTCCAGCAGAAGCTGTGTAACCCTTCCCAGTTAGCACGCTGATCTCTTAAATACCGCCATTAAAGGGGCTCCCAGAGAAGTACCACAGGGACTCGCTCCCCTGAAGAGGGGACAGGCTTCCCTACGCACCGCGATACCATACATCTTCCACAAACTTTAAATGCGTGCTGTAGGGAGGACATTCGGGCCGGTGCCTGTGTGGGGTGCCCCGTTTCTACCGAGCAGCCCCGCCGGCAGGGATGCACCGCGCCTTCCTGCCGCCGAAGCATCGAGTGTGACGCAGCCAGCAACGTACTGTTACACGTAATCTGCCCGTTGGAGCAGCTGTAGCTGTACCACTCTGTGTAGGGGTTGTCCACAAAGAATCTGCACGATTCTAGTTTCTTTGCCTGCGAGTAGCAGTTATCATGTGCTTGACAACACCTGGGAAACAGGGAGGAAAAGGTCAGAAAATACCAGAGATGCAAACTCAGCTGACCTGTAAGACACGTAAATACGCTATTATTGCTTTGACAAGGCACTGAACAGAGGAAAAAGATACCCAGCGATAAGAGAGCAGACACGAAGGACCTCAAAGGGACACAGTTCTGCCAGCTAATGGTCCAAGAGGTGTCTGGTGCACAGGTACTGCCAGGAGCATCTTCACAGAGTTGTCCATTGGGCACAGGGAAAGCAAAAGACAGCATTTACCCCACGCTCCCTGTCAGTGCCCGGTAGCTGAAGAGCTAACAGCTGACACAACTCACTGCGTCTTGGCCATTGGTCTTGTGTGATCTCTAAACTGCCCAAGCCACTTCTTCGCATTTTGCGGCTCAGCCCCGTGCGCGTCGGTGGTCGTGCACTGGGCAGCGTGCTCGGAGCTGCGTCCGGGCTGCTGGCACAGCACTGCCGCAAAAAAAAAATGCTGGACCAAGTGCAGTTTAGCTGCCACAGAAGAGAAAACAGAGTTGTTGGGGTTATATTTTATCTTTAGTAATACGGCACCAAGGTGTGCTACTACGCAACCTTTTTTCCTTGAATCGGTCTTTGAGAGAAAGCTTCGTTCACAGCAGCCAGAGTTTTGTGTACATTCATAGGCAGGGCCAGCTGAGACGAAGCTGGCATGCAGAGCTGTGAAAGCACGGGCAAGGAAAGAGGTTTGTAAAAGCGGAGTCTTACAAACCTGTCGAGCTCATCCACTGGTGTCCCGCTGCCTCCCAAGCCGCAGTAGCAGCCGTAGTCAGCAAAGTCCAGGACAGGATAGCTGTCCGGGATGGTGCATTTCAGCATGCGGCGCAGCTCCCAGACGGCCCGGGGTGAGACAGCAGCGCTGGCTGCGCCCACTGAGAAGAGACGCAAAGGTTCGAGTTAGGCAGGGCGTTAGCAGCCCAGGGGTGCTGGGGAGCGAGTGCCGCCTACGCACCAGACAGCAGGAAAAGCAGGGCCAGGGACTTCATTCTTGAAGGACTTGACAGAGTCACCGGCGCTGAAGAAAGATGCAGCTCTTTCTTTATACGACAAGCTCACCTTGACACAGATATAAGATAAACAAGCCAGTATTTACGTTACTAAATGCAGATTTCTTCCATCAGAGGCTGTTGGCTGCAGGTTGTGACATGACCAGTTGAAGGCCAGTGGAGTTAAATCTCTGAAAGCCAGAAAGGCAAATATTTGCTCTCTAGATTTTTGCTATTAAAATCTTTTAATGCTACTATTAAAAGCCAGCCTGAAAGATCTGGACATTTTCAAGGGCTCTCTACTAAAAATATAGCGGTGTGGTAGTTCTGTTAGAAATCGCTGGCGCACTGATATCCATCCTGCTAATGCTGGCATCCTCTGTTTATGGTATCCCTCTTACCATTAATCCTGCCTCTCTCCATGGATTCTCCTGGCCTGATTCAGAGAATAAGGCACAGGTCGTCCACTCACCCCAGATGAGCATTTGGCATGAGCCGAACTGAAAAACATTCAAGCTGGTTTTTTACTTTGAAACCACAGAGGAGGAGGCACTACTGGGCAAGAAAGAGGAGCCAAGCAACCTGTAAAGCCCCTGCAAGGCTTAAACAAGGAGTAGTGTCTGGTTCTACGTGACCTTAAGGGAGTTACACTGGAAATCATAGAATGGTTTGGGCTGGAAGGGAGCTTGAAGACCACCTAGTTCCAACCCCAAGTCGTGGGCTTGGAAGTTTCAACATACACAGGAGCTTCGGGAGCTCAGAGACAGCAGTTGCTCTTTCTTCAGCACCAAAGCAGAACCCCGCGAGGCCCTTTGGTTCCCTATGCCAAGGTGTGAGGCAAGTTGGGAACCTTGAAATAAGATCAAAAAATGGGTAAGAAAAAGCTTCCTGGAGTCAGCCAGGGGCGAGTCCAAAATACCGCCCTCCCGGGCAGACCCCAGAGGCTCTAACACTGCCAGGGCTACAGGCTTGGCATTGCTACGCACCCAGGATATAGCTCCTAGACTGCGCACTTGACAGCGAGAGGCCGCATTTATTCCTAAAGCACCAAGCAAGCCTTCAGTTTTTGAGAGCAGAGGAAGAGGCAGAGCCCACCGCTCCCCAACAGCCCAATATCCCCGAGCGCGTATTCGGGAAGCTTAGGGTTCAGCACCCTTCGGCAGGTCCAAACGCACGTTTCTGTGAGGGACGACGAGGACACCTTCCCCCTCGTAGTGGCCAAAACTGCGCCGGGGTGCCCCTAGTACCCCTAGGGTGTTGACACATCCGTAGGACATCTAGTTAAAGGCAGACATGCTGATGAACCCCAGAACCGTTCCGACTTTCTGGATCCCTCGCCAGCTCCCTGAGGCCCTGGGATTCGCCGCTCGCAGGTCAGCTAAAGCCAAACAGACGCCGAGTTACAGGTTCAAGATTCTCGTGTCCTAACAGCGAGACCATTGAACGGACACGAAAGGCTGATGTAAAGGACAGGCCATAGCACGGTTAGTTCAGAAACAAGGATTTAATCTTTTGCCCGCAGGTCAATCTGCTGACTTTCCCTTCAACACCCATTTAAGCATTCTCCTCCTTTGCTACTTTGGCCACCTTTACTCTTTTTTTTTTATTATTTCCCTGTTCTCTTACCTGTGAACCTTAAGACTCTATGGTTCCTTTTTCCCCACTCCTCAATATCCGATTTATTATTGATGTTGCCAGGAAAACTTCCAATAAACTGGCTTTTTAAAGTCACAAATCAGAAATTGTCATATCTTGGATTTCATCCACTTGAATTCAGTGCGAGGATCACCAGGTGTGGGAAAGCGAGCACTCCGAGAGGGCCTCATGAGAAAAACCCCAGCAGGGTAAAGATTTTTCCACCGATGCTATTTTTGGGTTCCCCCAACCTGGGCTGCGTACAAAGCCGCTGCTCCTCAGCGAGCTTGTGCGGACATCCCAACTGACAACCGGTTCCTAACCTTACAGGCTTGAGCCACAGCTTATTTTTAAGAATTCTCTGTCACGAAGAGCTGCTGCACAGGGCTCCCCACCCTGTTTTATGCTGTTATCATTTACCTTCCTCTCGTAGCGTTGTCCATTAAGGATTTCTCTTCCCATCCAATCTCTACCTTTTACTTAGATCAAGGCTCCTTGCTGCGCCGTAGTCATTGCATCCAGAGCATCTGAACTGCTAAGCACCACGCTATCTCCTCCTTTCTTGAACCGACAAATATCTATACAGAACCTCTGTAACGTGGAGAAGAGACACAATCTTCATTAAAACCAGATCTGCCTCGCGTTATAAACTGGGCCACTGCCAACGTCTGGGAGCCGAACACAGTCAGAGCCCTGCCTGGGGCTTTTATCCTAATAAAAGGTCCACGTTCACCTGAAATCTCCTCCATTAGAGAATCTCCCGCCCCCAAATAATGACAGAGAAGGACAGTTTTCAAATAATTTATTAGGAATTTAAAACTGAAATCTGGAAAAAGGGTTACAGGTGTGGAGAGAACAAACATCGGAGTGTAATAACTTACTGGCTTAAAAACACAGCTTTATTTCTTTTAAAAAAAATGCCCACCCTGAAACCGGAGCCCCAGCCTCCAGGCAGCGGCGGCACTGGCCGGAGAGCGAATCGCAGCCCAGCAGCAGCACAGCTGGCCTCGGGCGCCTGGAGGGGCACGGAAGCAGTTCAGCGCATATACCAAGAGGGAGGAAAGCGCTGTCCGCAGACCCAAATTTGAAGTATATAGAATAAAAATAAACCCAATAAAATGCAGCTCTTCTTTAATTAGGAAATATTTAAAAAAACAGACATACAGACTCTTGTCTCAGTAACAAAAATTATTGCTTTGTGTTTTCAGTACTAATCTGTTAAGTACCCTCTTACCTAAACGGAACTCTCCAAACGCATCGCATCGCCCAGGTCAGGCCCGGCTCCGCGGGCGGGGGAGGGATGGGAGAGAAGGGCCCTGTGGCCCTCCCGGTCCTTTTCCAAACGCCCCCCTCCCTCACGGGGGCTCAGTTTGGGGGAAGAGAGGGAATGATTTTTAAAACTTAAGATGAAGCTGTTATTTCCCTGGGAAAAGAGTTTGGCTGCATCTTAATAAAAGGCTTAATCACCCCCCTTAACAAGGTCTTTGGTTCACTGAAATCCAGACCCAAACCTGCCCCCTGTACTCCTGCGGGAGGCTTCCCGGGGCAGAGCCTCGGCCCGCGCGGGGGCAGCTCCGGCAGGTTCTGGAGAAGGGACCCGACCGCCCCCGCGCAGGACAACGGACAAACTCCCACAGCCTTCGGAACACAGAGTAAAGCAAAGGGGAAGCTGCAATTCCAGAATTCATATAATCCCTGAGAAGCCCTTAACCCGCCCCCAAATCACCACCCTAATGCTTTTCTCCCCCGTTAATGACTCCCCAACCCGGCGTCCTGCCCTTCAGGGAACGACCACCCAAACCCCCCCGGCCCCGGCTGACACCCCTTCCGATACCCTCCCCTCCGGAGGAGGATCCCCTTTCCCAGGAAACCTTGACGCAAGCGATAGCGTTTGGAGAGTGAATTCCTTTCAAAGTAACCAAGACAAGCAATGGCGGTAAAGCCCTTTACCTAAAGCCAAACCGGAGGCTGGCACTACGGAGCCCAGTGATGGAGTCTGTACATCGAGCGATTGGAAGCAGCTTTAACCCGCTCAGCAAAACAGCCGATGGCCGGTACGTTTCACCCCCGCCCCCACCCCCCTTTCATCTCATCAGAGGTCTTAAAATCTTACAGTAAAAGGTGTACAAAAAAAGAACGGAGTCCTGTCAGGATTCTGCTGGAGAGTATTGCTCACGCTGCGGCACCAAGTCCAGGACCTGGAGCTGCTCCTTGGAGCCAGGCTGCAGGCGGCAGCCAGGTTCAGCTCGCGATATTTACATATTATACAGGAGGAAAAAGAAAACCCCACGTAAAACTAAACCTAGGAAAAAAAAAAATTCTTTCAGCTGTAAGGATAGTGTTTTTCACTTAGCAAAATATACATTTGTTTTGTTCCATAGCGATGTCCAACGTTTTCGGATCCTTGGAGTTTCACACTTTTCAAAGCCTCACATTTACAAAACAGAAACAATTAAAAACAGTTTCTTTAAAAAAAATAGAAATACATCAGTTCCTCTCAGCCTTTGCTCTCTCTGCGTCTCTTTCTTCCCTTCAGAACTGCATTCTCGTAACATACCGTGCTTTAAAAACACTGACGACAACAACAACAGAGTTGAAAATATTCAAAACAGTTTCAAAGCCAAATAAAAATACTCCTCAATAAAAACTACCTAACACAATCACAAAGCCAATTCATAAAATATGTCTACTAGCTCGGGAAAGAGCAAACAACAAAAAGAAGGGGTAGCCCCCCCAAAAAAAGATAAAAAAATAAAATAAAAAAATAAAACTAACAGCTAATAAAATAAATAAAAGAAGAATCGGTGGGCTGGGGGCAGGGAGGGGGGAAGCGTAAACCGTCGGTGGTTAGTAAGAAAGCGAGATGATCTCCTCGGGTTCAGTCCAGTGTGGTCTGGTCAAAGGGAGAGATCGGGGCAGGGCGGCAGGAGCCTGGCAGCCAGCCGGCAGTGTGCAGTTTGATTCAAGAAAAAGGTAACCTTGGCTCATCCCCCGCGGCTCACCAGATCCTCCAGCCGCTGTCCTCGGTTAGGTCACTGGGGAATCTGCGGGACACAGAGGGGAGGGAAGGGACAGGATCTAGAACAACCAACGGCTTCTCTCTTGGGGTTTTCCTCCGGTGCGATCCGACAGAAATACTCGATGCCCGAACTCGCCCCAACGCAGACGCGCTCTGCCTCTCGCTGGCACAGCGACGGGGCACGGCAGGGATGCTTCCGTCTTTAACGGCAACGTGCAGGCCGGGGAAACGAGGCCCCGCGCGCCACGCAGCCTGCCCAGACCTGCGGCGCTCCCGGCCCCCGGGAGGCCTGGGACGTAGCGGGCTCCAGCTGCTTCCCCGGCTCTCAGCTCAGCGCAGCCCTGCCAAGGGCTCCCGTCTGGACACCCTTCCCTGCAAGTTTTTGCCCTCCTTTTTGTAAAGCTGTTTTTTTTTTTTTTAATTTTAATTTTAAGCCAGCTAACTTCAGCCACATTTGCAAAGCAAACGGAGATCATCCACCAGTTCCCTCTCAGGCCCATCCGAGGACCAGAAACAGAACTGACCAGACTCAGATTTTCCTTCTGCCCTTCTCCCAGGCGGGAGAGGAAAACCCTCGCTCCCCAGAGACAGCGGTCTCGGCAGCAGCGAGAACAACCAGCTGCGCAGAGGAGGCTTCCCTGGCCACACAGGTGAGCCAAGCTTGTCTCTCGGGATCACCCCTGCGCTGTGATTCTGGCCAACCCTGCAGACCTTTCCTCTTTCCGCCAGTGCTTTCCCTTCCCCTTGGCACCCAGACACTACGCGATCCCTCCACAGCACTCCCAGCCTGAGGAGCGTAAGGTAGAAACCCAACCTGCCGAGCCTCTGGTGCGGAAGAGAGCCCCAGGCTGGCCGCAGGACTCCTCCCGCAGGCTGGGTCAGGCCAGCAAGCTCACAGCGGCATCCGCGGCTCCTGCCGAGAGCCCAAGCCCAGCGGCCAGCTCAGAACTTCACTCCTCTCATTACCCGTTCCTGTTCGAAGCTCTCTTACCTCCTGCCTCCTTGGTCCCCAGCTTCAGTGATACCCATTGGTAAAAGCTGTTGCAATCAAGGGACCCTGTGAAGAAAGAGTTAAAACCCCACTCGTAAGCAAACAAAAGAAATGTGAAGGAGAATTACTACAACAAACTCAGTCATGGCCCAGATGCTGAGAAAGCTGGTTTCAGTTGGAGGTGCCAGGTCTAAAGAGCACATCACCCTGCAGAACACAGCGTCAGGGCCGAGACGGGCTCTGGGAAAGTCCGGGCCAGACCAGGGAAAGGTCTGGAGGTCAGGACCTTGCGTGGTGGCCAGGGAGAGCCAGCGGAGCCCAGGGATGGGGGCTGCAAGTGAACTGCTGCATCCTGCCCCATCCGTCTGTGCTCAGCGATGGCGCGGCAGATGCTGCGGCGGGCGGTGTTTCTTAACCAGAAAGCAGGCTGTGGGCCGAGCGGGGGCCGCCCACCGCTGCTCAGCTCCATCACCACGCGGAGATGCAGCCCCTTCCCCTGGCCGTCCCGCTCTCCATCTTCCCCGCCCTGCGCAGAGCCCAACAGGGAACACTCACCCCTAGGCTGTGGCCGAAGCCGGTGCTCGGGGCTGGGCTGGCAGCGCTGATGTAACTGCTGACCCCCGAGTCCTGGTTGGCGGCTCCATAAAGCTCTGCCATCGGCCCGGGGCTGGTGGTGCCCAGAAATCCACCGGTGCGACTGGGGGTGGAACCTACGGGAGGCAGCAAAACTACAGAGTGAAGATCCCAAAAATGCAACCCCGTCCCACCCCCCTCCCGCAGCCCGTCGCAAACCTCCGGGACAGGACACCGCGCTGGGGAGGAAAGTGGCAGTTACCTGTCCCTCGCACCACGGCTGCCGCAGCCGCTGCTGCCGCCCTTGGTCCATACGCAGTGAGGGGGATTGCTGGAAAAGAAGGAACGGGCATCTCAGGGGCACTGTGGCTACACGGGGAACTCCTCAACAGGAGCCTTCATTCCCTGCTGCAAAATAGCAGGCCCACAGAGACATATCGGCTTAGTGCATCACACGGGACATCCGAGGATGACACTAGGGGAGCGCACAGCCCTGCATTTCTCGCTATCCTTTTGCACGGCCACTGTCCGGGGGAACTCACTAGCCATGCTCTGCCGAGCCCACACCCTGGCGCAGCCGAGGGTGCGACATGGAAGAGCTGAACCAGAAGGGGGCAATTTCAGATGTATCCTGTCGCTACTTAGCTTGCAAGATGCAGCTAAGCTGAAGCTACAGATCCAGATTTTGGCTGTAAACGTGGAGAAACGCAGCAGCTGGCAGCTCAACATCCTGAGGCTCAGCCCTCCTCTCCGTCCCTTGCTACTATTTGTGAATAACAGTTTCATAGTTAATAATAACAGTTTAATAGCCTCTTTCTCCCTATTTCTCTACGCTTCTCAAGACACACCATCTTCCCCACTCTGAGTTTTGCTCCTGAACTGCTCAACCCCTTGCCGTTCACCGTAGAAGAGCAGGAACCATATACCTAGGGAGCAGGAACTAGAAACGGCTTAATTAAAACAGTAAGTCTTAATTTATATGTAGCAGTTCTAATTCCCAACTCTACTGCCAGAGGCAGCCAGCCCTCGGGGCAGGAGGCATCTAGCCAGTATGTTTCTCTTTGCCCTTAAAATGACTGGGTCAGCATTTCATGCTTGAATGTGAAATTCACTGTGATTCTGTTTAGAGCACCAGAAAAAGAGGTCAGAACAAATCAATCGCGTTAAGGCTGAAACCCAGACTAGCTTATAAGGGAATATTTAGCAGCAGGCACCAGCCTGTTTCAAGCAAACGTCATACGAGGCTTATATCTGGGTTAGCTGCTCATTGCAGGCCCTGGGCCAACGCGAGCACGTTGCTGCTTCGCATCACCCCCAAAGATGCGGTTGCGGGGAGGACAGGCTGCTGGCAGCCACCCTCCTGCCCCATCACCGCTTCAAGTCCCTAACACACTGCTGAATGAATGCGATTTTACTGACCCCCCAAAAGATGCGGTTGCGGGGAGGACAGGCGGCGGGCAGCCACCCTCCTGCCCCATCACCGCTTCAAGTCCCTAACACACTGCTGAATGAATGCGATTTTACTGAGAAAGGAGGCCAGGTCTTCCCAAAAAGACTCCAGTTCTTTCTCTGGGAAAAACCCTTCTTGCCTTTGCAGTCTGTCTACCGAGACACCAGGTTTGTGTTGTGATGAGAAAGCACCTGCATGTGAGCTCCCCACGTGCTGGAGCAATCATCCCTGCTTGTGCCATCCCCTCATCTCAGTTCCGCTTGCCAAGCCCCTCCAGCGCAGCCCATTTACACGCACGCATGCACTCGAAGGCACAAGGGCCCTCCAGCACCGCGCAGCTCGCTGGCCCTTTGTAGGAACGAAGGGGGCCCTGCCCTTCGTGGGACCAACTCCAGCCTATACATGGGAATCGCAGCGCTCAGCCTAGCCAAGAGGCTGCGCAGCGACTGTTTAACAGTAGGTAAGCGTAACGGGAAGGGAAGAATGCCACGATCCCCAGCTGGTACTTCAGCGAGACACTCAGGACTGTAAGCTAACGTGGCACCCAGCCAGGACAGCAGCACTAATAACTTCTTGTTGTACAGAGCCCTGGTGCACCCCAGCCGCCGGTGACGGCCAGGCCCTGGGCGATTCACCTCTGCTAGAAAAAGCCAGAGCGCAGCCGGGGCCAGACCTCGGAGGGAAAAGCACTTTTGCCAATTCACCAACATTCCTCTACAAATTTTATGGGTTTTGCTGAAAAACACACATGTAAATACACACTGGGCCCGCATCTGCTTTGCTTGGCAACCAAAAGGCTCCAAGATGGGGATCAGGTGCTTATACAGTTGCATACATGGCATCAGGGAAGGGTTTTATTAAGAGGGAGCTAGGATTTAGCCTCCCTCTACATCCCTCAGAGCAATTTGTTCATTGGTGGCTGCCAACCTCAGCATCCTCGGGAACGGAGAGTCCCTGAGGATCGACATGGTTCTGTGCCACAGAAACCCCCCGTCAAGCCTGTTTGTACTGATAATTCCGGGAGAGCTTCTCAGGAACCTTTTCCACACCCTCATGGCAGAGAGATTCAAACCCTGAAACAGGGGGGGGCAAGGAAGCGCTGGAGAGGAGGAACACCACGGAAATGAGATGGCACACGGGGAGCAGGGTGCTACACAAAGCTGCTTTTCTACGACAAAAACCATGGACAGGACAGAGCTGGGGAAAACATGGCCATGGAAGGGAAAGTCAACAGGAGGAGCATCACCTAGAGAGAGCACACTGCACACAACCCAGGGGCTGAGGATCCAGAGCGTATTTGCACTGTGAGGACACCGAGCCAGGACGAGTCCCTGGAGAATGGTCCTCTGCCCCCGTTTCGTCCCACAGTTCCCTACGAGCACTGCAGGACTTCGCTGTAGAGTCCCACCACGCTCGCTTCTGTCCGGGAAGCCCGTGTGGGAGCAGCTCGGGAGCTGCACCACCCGGTGCAGGGAGAGCGTTCCCTGCAGCCCCTCCTGCACAGGGACATGGGATTAGAGTAACCAGGAGTGCTCCCACACCCTCTCCCTCCTCCCAGCACTCCAAATCTCATCCTTGCAGCAGCTCGGGTTAAGGTCATTCGCAGACCTTTGAGAAGTCACCCCGCACTCTGCCATTTTCCATATCTGGTTTACACCCAGCCTGGGGCAAGGAGCTAAAAACGAAGCAAGCAGCAGGAAAGGCCATCTAAGGATTACATGCCTTCATTTGGCATGACCTGCATTGCCCTTCTCGGAGGCAATACACATGGCTCTGATTGCCTCTCCATCTTTCCAGCCCCAGCTTTGGACGGAGCTCATACAGATGGAAGAGGAAATAAGGAACATTTCCAGTCTAACTGCACCAGGCTGTGGAGCAGCGACACCACTGGAACAGCCCAAAGCCCCCTTCTCCCCTTCCAGCTTGTGAGGTTAGGAAATGAGCGGGACTGACCTGTGAGCTCAGGGAGGACGGGGGCACTCGGGAGAGGGGTCCGCTCTACACGGAACTCTAAAAACGAAATGCAAGACAGCTTAGGAACTCGTCAAACGCCCCGAGGGAGACCCCACAGAGAGACAGCGGCCAGGGTCTGCTGGGGGAGCAGCCTGCAGCCAGAGTGCGACCAGGCCAGTGCCGCCTTTAAACTAATTTATAACTGGTGCTGAAAGGTGCTGGACTCCTGCCCTGGAGACGGAAAGGATCCCTTTATCCTTAGAATGAATCTGGCCAAGTCAAGGCAAGTGCAGGCTTCACTGTGCAGCCTCAGAGCTGCCCTGGAGCACCGCTCTGCCACCCATCCAATCTGACCTCCCGGCTGCCGTGCCTGGGGGTGCTCAGTACTGGCCACACTCATCTGGGCAAGGCTTTACCATGAGGCACTTGAAGCCACTACAACCGAGACCCATAAACTGGATTCACGGAGAGCTTCCAGACAGCTAGGAGGCAACAGCAACTTTCAGCCACAGTCAGCCTGGGCTCGCCTCAGGCGAAGAGGAAACTTCCCATTCCCAGCCCCTAACATCGAGACTTCAGATATAAACCATCACACTGAGGGATGGGGTAAGGAAGGGATGCTCAGAGTTGCCACTTCTCTAGAAAATAGCAAGACAGTCTTTTCCCTGAGCGTGCTCTGCCTCGTTCCCTTGCCTCGCAGAGAACGGGAGGGAGAAGGGTCCCCAGAACGCTCTGGGCGGCTGCGGCACAGCAGGTTCCAGCCATTGACTGCAGAGTCCATGTTCTGAGCCCGTGGCGGGGTTGGGAGCTTGAAACCACCCAGTTTGTGGGGGATCTGCAGCCCACCGCCCCCGCAGATGTTTTCTGGAGGCTGCGAGTGGTCCAGGCGCTGTTCAGAACACAACTGTAGTGTCGCAGGCACCTGCGTTTCGGGTGCCTAGGAGCTCCCTGGCCCACGGAAGGCCACATTTTAAAATTCTGTGCTACTTTCAGAGCAGTGGCAACCCTGGTAAAGAGAGACAGACATACACAAAGGCAGCGAGACAGGCAGAGCTGCAGGGGCCCTTCTGTGTCACAGCAGCAGCCCTACGGAGGAGGCTAACATAAAGGGCATCAGAGCAGCCTTGGGCTTTTCCTGCCCCTGGAGTGTGAGGATAATCCTAATGAAGGACAGGCTGTTCCCACCTACTCCAGGGCTTCTCCCCTCCCCCTTCCACATCCGTCTCCAATTTAAAGAAAGACCAAACAGGGGAAAGGTTGAAAGGGGCAGAGCCTGGGTCACGGATCATGCCAGGGGCTCCCGTCACCTGAAGGCAGCCCGAGAAACCAAGCAGGGAGCACCACTCACCAGGGAACTGGTAAGTGTAGCCAGGTGCAATGCCAGTGTAACTTCGACTCGCGTAGGTGGCAGCCTGGAAGCCTGGATAACCTGGGGGAAGAGAAAAGGGCTCCGTTACTGCAAGCTCCCAGGGTCCCTGTCCTCAGCGGCTGGCCGCTCACGGGCAGCGTGACCATTAGTGTTAGAAAGCACAAAGAGGGCTCACAGCAGAAGCCCCAGGAAATTGCTAGGCAGAGTCTGCACAGATGCAAGTCTGCAGCAGAGTTTTAGCAGGCCTGTTTAATTTTTCCCTCGCTCCGAACATGTAAGGACATGGAGATTTCCTTCTCAGAAACTCACAGCTCTGCAGACTAAGGCTTTCTGATGCATCAGCTGGATTTACAAATAGGAGGAGATCAGGGAGGTGGGGGCATTTGAACGGCTGAATAGCTCTGAGTCACTTTTGCACTGGAAGTGCTGGCGAAAGCAGGCAGAGCGCTTCTTCCTGGCGCCGGGCGGGAGGACGATTCCTGCCGTTCCCGGGGAAGCTGACCACCTACACAGACCAAGCCTCTGAGAACGCAGGGCACTGACTGAGAGATGAATATTTGATTTGAGATCTCCCAAGACATGAGTACGTGGATTTCCCAATGACTCAGCTTGAGCCTTGCTGCTTTAAATTCAGATGGCTTAGAAAAGGCAAAACCCAAAACCACAGGCTGGAGATTTATTTTCCTTCAATAAGTCAAGTGAAAACACTGGGGAAAAAAATGCCCTTTTTGGGGTTTTGTTCAGTGACTAGGTGCTACTCGGCAGGCTTAGCAAGGAGAGCCAGGCTGAGTACACCCTGCCCAGCAACACCAGCGATGATCCTGAGCAAACAGCCTGCTCTTGGGGCAGCTCAAGCCTGGCCAGAACGAACAGAGGGAGGGAGAGGAGCCAGGAACAGCACCTGCGCTGGAAGGATCATGCTTGAATCTCAGATCCAGGCACGAGGGTTTATAGACTTGCAAGTGGGGGCTACAAAGGACTTTTTTCTTTTGTTCATCTTTTATCTGAACCTTAGAATCATTGATAGGCATGAAACCCAGCCTGCTTGTCACCAATTTCTCCTTACAAGACAGTCCCAAGATAAGTGTACGGTTTTCCTTGCCATACTGGATACCTGCTGTCCCTGAGAGGGAGGGCACAAAGCGAGACAAAGCTTAACCAAAACTTTAAGGGCATTTTTATAGTCTTTCAACGGCAGCGAGGACATTGATACGGACCACTGTTGCAAGTGGAAGCTCGGGGGCTCTTTAATCAACTAATTTATCAGAAAGCCTGTAGAAGTGCGGGAGGAAGGTGTCTGGGCACAGATTACTCCACACTCGGTCCAGCTATGTAGTTACATCTTATTCCACATAATTAAAGCCATTAAAGAATTACAGCCTATATGCGATGGACCGTTAAGGGAGCTGCAGAGGGCCAGAGCTGCCCAGCACATGGCTGTGCCTTGCCAGCTCCGGCTGTCGCAGGGCAGCAGTGACAAGTTTGCAGTTTTTCCAGGTGCCACCAGAGGGCAAGTTGTGATCGCAAACAGGTCCCGGCGCCCCTCCAGCGTCCCCGGCCTTGCACCAGGGAGAGCTGCCCTTGGCCACCCTGCCCGCTCTCGGAATAAAACCTCTAAGCTGCTGCCTGGCAGGACGGGAGCTGGGGAGGAGATCTGTCCTTGGGCTTACCCAGCATGCCGATCCCGAGCATGAAGGCATCCATCCCGTAAGGCATGACTCGGGACCGCCCTCGCGCCGAGCCCGTTGGGGACATCACCTCCTTCGGCTGGGCTTTTTTACACTCCACCTGCCGCAAGAAAATAAGGATCAGGCTCAGCCGCCACCGGCACAGAGCGTGGGCAGCGGGCCAGGCAGGGCTGCCCACCGCGACGGCACTCCCCAGCCCTGGCCGCCGCCAGCAGCCCGCCCGCTGTCCTTCCCCAGCAGCCCTGCCTCTGGCCTGCACGCTGCCAGCCTTCCCTCTCGCTCTGCAGCCACCACAGGCAATGGGGAGCTCAAACACTGCTTTTCCCCTCCTGGTGCTGCCCTTGACGCTCTGCCAGGCCCTGCATCAGGGCCTCGAAGCCTCCTTTTCCTCATTTCTGAATAAAGGTAGTACCTGCCCCCTTCCCAGGCCACCCAGAGGTTTCACGTAACTTTGAAACCTCCAAGTAGGGCACAACTCCTCATTACAGTTAGCTCTTCTCCTTGAAAGCTCAGTATTGTGCTGGTTCACCTCCACACTGCGAGTTTCTTTCTCAGACTGGCTGCTGTGATTTTGGGGAAAAGACTCCATCCAATTCCCCACTGCAGAGAAAGCGCGTCGGGACCCAAGTGCCTCCCACCCTGCCCCTGTGCCATTGCCCCGTTCTCCATCCCACGTCTCTACCCCTCCTCCCCTGGGTTCTGCCCCAGACACTCACCATTTTGTTGTTGATCTCATGGAAGTGGATTTCACACACTTTTTCCACAATGTCTTCACTTTCAAATGTGACAAACCCAAAACCTGAAGAAAAGGCAAAACTCCTTTGATCAGCTCAGAGCTCTGCACAGTTTGCACCCGCTACCCACATCCTTTTATTGGCAGGAGAAGGAGCCACAGGCTTCTAGGACGGTATAATCAGTCCTTTCTAAAACGTCTGTCTCTCATCTTCCCTCTCCAGCAAATCCTGCTTTTATGCACAAGAAGGACAGGAGCATCCCCATATAGATTCCCCTTTCCTCCTCGTCCTGTACTTCCCACCCTCTCTGAACCCAACTGCTCCCAAAACGAAGTATATTTTTTTAAAACTTTGCTATTTGCAAGGCAAACCACATGGCTGATAACGCTGGGGAGGATCGCAGCAGACAGACGCTCACACAAAGAAAGTCGGTGGAGAAACGAACAGCTGCTTGCCAGGACACCACCGTCCTCGCTAAACGCACCCCACCAGCAATAACACCCTGCACCTTTCCTCTTCAGTCACCGGTCCTAAAGCCTTGTATGAGCAGGCAAATATCAGCAGTGCAGCTGTACAGAGCAAGACGGACAGACACAAGCAAAGCGATTTGCCAAGTTTCACCAAAGTAAGGTTAATATCTGGGGTAAAACAGGACAGGATGTTCCTGGCCCCCGGCCCACACTCACACCTCCTTTCTCTCACCAAGCCCTTTGCTGACAGTTTTGGCAAAGACCAGCTGGGGTGGGCAGACTAAACTCCTCTCAGCTGACTGCGGCCGTTTCCGGAAAACTGAGGCAGGTGGGAGGATGTCTTTAAGCTTGCCTTACAAGCAAGCTGGGATTAAACAGAACTTTCCGCTTTCCAGAACTGGCCAATTCCACGGTGCTTTAAAATAACTTTTAAAAACAGACGGGGATCTGCTGGCCAGAACCCCACTGTTTCTCCATACTGCCAAAAAAGTCTCTCTCCATAAACTCCTCCGTCTGTCTGTGCCCAGGTAGTCTCACACAATTCACCTCAACACCCAGGAGCGGAGGGGCTGGGGAGTTCAAGAGCAAAACCCTGACACCAAAACCAGTCCTGAGCCCCATCAGACCCCCACCAGGCCTGCTGCGCCCTGGACAGAGCCCCACGCCGCCGACACAGCGGCTAGCAGCTCTCCTGGCTCCTTCCCAAACACCCGACAACTCTTTAATTGGACTAGAGACTGGGAGACACCCATGGAGGAACAGGGGTTAACACTTCTTCCCTTCCTGAAGCTGGAACAACATCCTAGGTCAGGCAACCAGAGTAGATTTAATGGCTTTAGAAAAAAGCAAAAACCTGAAGGGCACACAGTGTAGCGAGAGCAGAAGGGAGCGTTCCGTCGCTGATCTGGGGGCAGAGGTGCTTGGAAGTGCTTCAAACAACTCACAGACACGAGAGCGGCCCAGCACAGGGCTGTTACTGGCCCTGATTTGGAAGACACCAAAGCTAAGTTTGCAAGTTAAGTTGTTGCCAATAAATCTCGGAGCTGGTGCAATGCTTGCTAGCGTCAAGCCCTGCCGCGCTGCGGGGCAATCGATCTGAAGATTCACCGGGAGAGCGGGAGGCAGGGACGCCCATGGGTGGGCTGGGTCCGGATAGCGCAAATAGTACAGCCTTGCTCCCATCCTGTAACCAGACTCCACCAGCAAGACTCGGGTAAGAAAAGGTGACCTGGGAGCACAGGCAGGCTCTGAGCCGAGGAAGGGGCGAGAGGCAGGCGCTCTTCAGGCTCTCGTGTCAGCTTTCCCAGAGCTCAGATTACTCGGGACAAGGTAAGACACACACTGCGGGCTGGAGCCATGGAGGTAAGCGGGCAGGGGAGGGGGCCGCCTCCTCTCACATATCTGCAACTCGGCGAGTTTACAGCACAGGAAACGCGCTGGACAAAAGCTCTCTGTGCTGCAAGGGACGCTGGTAAAGGATGCAGATGCAAAAGGATGGGGCGACTGGAGGCAAGATAAAGAGCAGCTGCGACCCGCATGCCCTGCTGCTGGGATACTAACCCCTCCCTAGGCAAGGCAGGAGGCAAACCCTCCGCAGTTCCCTCTCCTACGGCCAGAAGACCGCTCTCACCTCGGTGTCGGTTGGTTGTCTTGTCGAACATCAGCATCGCGTCGTCCACCTGCAAAGAGAAGAGCTCCGGATCAGCTTATTGCCGTTGCCACGAGCATCCTCCAGCACATTTGTGCAGAGCTTCCCGGGCCTCCCCGAACCAGAAGGGGTCAAGATGAGACCTCCCATCCCCAGGAAGCACGCAGGGCGTGCGCGCACACAGACAGACACGCCAGCTACCGCACCAGGCGTGTCCCCGAGCCGCAAGCAGCAGGGTCCCCCCACCAGCCCGGGGCAGGTGCTGCCGGGCTGAGCCCCCTCGGCCCGGCCCCTGGCAGCAAGCGACCCCGATTGTTTGCCTGCAGCTCCAGCCGGGGGGCAAGGAGCCGGGAAGGCATTGTTCCCAAATCCCGGCCTCAAAGGAGAGGAGAATTAAAGGGGGGGAGAGAAGCAAAGCTGGAGAGGGGAGAGGAATAAGGGGCCTCCCAGCGACAGGGGAAGTGGAGGCCTCAGACAACAGAGCCTGCCGGGGGAAGCTGGGAAGGGCCCCCGCCCCCACCCCAGAGGAGCCTTTCCTCTAAGTGAGGTTTCCCACTGCTGGAGGCTGTAATTAGAGCAAATTTACTGCAAGGCCTGAGCAGGGCTGCCTTCCCGGGGGGAGGGGCGGCCGGATCCCATCCCCCAGCCGGCCTGGGGCTGCTCTCCTCCCCGAGCACATCACCGCCTGGTGCCACTTTTCCCCCCCATCTTCCCGCTGGCTGCTGCCTTGCAGAGGCGCATCTGCACCGCTCATCCGCAGGTCAGGCCGAGCAGGGTTAAAAAATACACTTCAATCCTGTCCGTGTAAGCCCCGGTGTAAACCTGTCCCACTGACCCATCCCTCCTCTCTAATACCACTGCCTTAATCCGATTATGAAACTGGACATGCAAGTGCTCAGGGGATGCGGTGGCAGTCTCCGGCCAGCAGCTGCCCCGGCCCTCCTCCTCCTCCTCGGTGCGAGGCAGCCACTCCCTGAGCGGCAAGCCCCGTGTGCCCCCGACTCCATGGAAGGATTACTCCTTTGCCTTGTCGCCGGGAAGCATCTGCATTGCCACCTTCTCTGGAACAGCCCGCCGGCGAGGGCAGAGCGCTGCCCGTACCCCTGCGCAGGCAGCGCCCGGCTTCGCTCGGGGAGAGCCCACAGCCCCGGTCAGGGAAGGGAGAGGGCTCCTGTCCCCCACGAGACAAAACGGGACACCCCACTCCACCTCAGTGCCACAGGGATGAAGGGGCCCTTGCTAACGTTTCCAGTGCCACCACGAGCAGACAGAGATCATCTTTGATGCCCTTGGGCTTGTCCAACACGTCCACCCCGCGAGAGCCAGGTGACAACAGACAACCTGGCTCCTGCTCATCCCGTGCTCTTCCCGCCCTGGCTCAGCCTCCCTCGGCCAAGTCAACAAACACCCGAGAAACATGCTGGGCGTCCAGCCGGAGCCACGGGGGACGTAAGACTTCACACGGACCCGAAGCAACTCCTCAGCACCTTCCCAAGACACAGCCAGCTCATCACGCCGCCATTCCTCATCGCCGCTCGCTCCTGCCCCTGCACCATTTCCCTTCACAGTGCCAGCACAAATGTGATGTGCTGGGGGGAAACCTGACGTAGCTTAAAAATATTTCAAGAGGTTTTACTGACTGTTTTTGTTCATTTTTTCAAGCTAGATCCATTTCTCCATCCAGTTCTCAGAAGGGCTGGGCACACGGCTGTCCTCCTCCCCAGTAAACGCTGGGAGAACACTGTGTCAACGGCACTCTGCAGCGGTGCCGCTCCTGAAGCCTTCAACGCAGGTAGCTGGAGCCCACAAACCCATCGCGATGAGAGATGGGCATAAGAAAAACCCAGCGGGAACAAGCACAGCCCGGCTGCTGACTTACTCCATCCGACCAGCCCCAGCAACCACCTCTTCTTCGCAGAGTCCGGACAGCGGTAGCAGCTGCAAGCGGCAGAGCCCAGCGGGCGCCCGCGCACAAACCCACCCCGCATCCCCGGCGCTCCCGCGGCACCCGAGCACTCGGAGCCGGGAGACGTGCAACCGCTCCGTCCCAAACGGCGCTCCATCCGCGGAGAGGAGAGCTGTAGCCTTCCCCCGCCTGAGCTTTTCTCTAAGTTTCTGCTGGTGCTTTGAGTTCAGGTGTCTACCCAGCACCCCGAAACGTACTCGTCTTGCAAAAAAGTATTTACAATAACACGTGCTCTAGCTGAAAGCTGTTTACTGCCATGAACTAAATCGAAGATAGATATATATGTGTATCTATGGATCTATATACATGTAATAGGTGAAACAGGCTCACCCCACTCAACTCTAGGGTCCCAACTCTGCAACTCTCTAGCTGTATAGCTACAACTGGTGGTTTTTACTGCCAACAAAACCTAGACACGAGCATCTTGTCGTCTCCTTCCAAGGCAACAGGTGAGATGAGCTGGGTGGTCTCAGAGAGCACGCGGCCCGTGAGGTGAGATAAAGCAGAGGTAGTGCTGGAGCCTCCGAACGGCGGGACAGGCTGCAGAGCCGGGAGAAAGGCATCCACAGGGAACAGCTATTTCCAGCCTCACGCCAGATCCCCCCTAGCTCCTGCCATCACCTCCTCTGGTCCGGAGCTAGAGGATGGGACGGGCACTGGCTGCCTCCGCTCACCTGAGGCCCAGCACTACCCGAACACCCATCAAGCACAAAGCGCTGAGGTGACGGAGGTGCCAAAGGGCTCCCACCAAAGGCAGGGG